CCCGGCCTTGTACCGGCCCACGAGCACGCGCTTGTCGCCGCCCAGCGCCGCCCGGCACTCCTCGTCCGGGAGGCTGGCCACGGCGGCGAAGTAGACGGCGAACAGCAGCGCCTCGACGCCCGCCGGCATGTCGCCGCCCGGCCGGCCCTGGTACCGGAGCACCACGGGCTCCACCGTCGGCATGTGCAGCACGCGGATGATGGGGTAGCAGTTCTCCTTGTACAGCCGCCAGTACACGGCGAACTCGTCCGGCGCCGGGTGCAGCGGGCCCGCGTCCGCGAGGCTGGGGCCGAGTCCCAGTATCGACGTCGGCTGCTCGTCGCCCTGGTCGCGCCGCGCCTCCTCCTCCTCGGCCAGGTCCTCCAGGATGCTGGCGGCGCCGTCCACCTAGAATAAGAGCAGGGGATTTAGTCACTTTATCCGAGCGAGAGGGGGTTTGTCTTCTGGTTACCTTTTCCGTCAGGTTGGCCCAAAAGTTGCTCACAATGTACCGGCTTCGCCCGTCGCCGACGGCAAGCTGGCCAAACTCTGTCTGCAGCTGTGTCATTTCTTCCTCGTCCTCGTCCTCGTCCTCCTCGTGCAATCCGGGCACTCCGTCGGCTTCATGTGCGGCATGCGGCTGGGCCGGGGATGCCGTGTGTCCCCGGCTTGAGGCGCCGTCGCCGCCCTCGTGTGACCCCGTCAGCGACTCCAACTTGGCTCTGAGCTGCTGGACGACGCCCTCGAGATACCGGACGCGCTCTAGTGCTCCCGCGCCGGAATACTGTCTCGTCGAGGGCCTCCTGGGCACAAAGACGCATTCCGTGCCGGCCCGGCGGCAGTTGGCGCACGGGTCGGTCCTGTCGCACTTCTTCCTCCGCCTGCGGCAGGACAAGCAGGAATAGGGCTGCAAGCCGGCGGGTGCGGATTCGGCCGCCGCAGCGCCGTCCTCGGGTGCTGCTTCGGGTTTCATTAGGCAAGGGGTGGGGGAGTGGGAGACGAAGCTACAGCCGCGGTGCTCGCAGACTCGTAGTGTCCGTCTTTCAAGATGGAACAAAACCTTGGAGCAAGAGAGAAGCAAGATGCATACTCTGGTTGGGCTGACAAGGACATCTGGAGACAGGGTGGGTTTGGGTAAAACCTCGGCAGCTTACACATGTAAGTGGCCGGAATGCCAACGTCGACCGTCTTGCACACGGGGAGCTCGGGTTTGACACTTTAATTTTTTTTTAGCTTTTCCATGGTCTGGCACGCTTCTCTGGCTTGGGTCTGGTACACCCAGGCACACTGTATGTCACTAGGCCCAGCGTGATGTAGTGCCTGCACCATCATTTACATGGGTCTAGAAAAATAAAATTGAATTAATATTAACTTGTTTGTTTCCCTCTCACGTCAAAAGATAATACGAACACGATACAAGGATCGTGCAGGACCAAAATCTGCTAACACAGTATTGGGCTGTACCAAGCCGACAACAGCAAGACCAAAAAAATAGACCGTCTACGCAACATGAGATATCGAATTAATATATTTTGGCTGAAATGGACAGATTCTACGCTGCGTACTTTGGTCCCCCTTTACCACGGGGGAAATAATAATAATCACCCTCTCCAGTCTTCACAAAAGGTCGTCGTTGGCACTCTCCAGCTTCTTGAGCTGCCCGACAATCTTGTCCTCGGACAGCATGAGCCGGTAATTATTCCACCACGGCAGGTATCCCGCCCCCTGGGCGTCGTCGGCGCCGAACCGAAACGTCTCCTCCTCCCCTCCCCCGGGCGAGACCTCCCCCTTGACCGCGTCCAGGCGAGGCGGCACGGCGCCGCTGCGCCCGCGGGCGTGGCCGTCGGTGGCCAGCGCCGCCCGCAGCACCTGGTTTTCTATAAACAGGTCTCGTATCCGGTGCCGCCGCCGCTGGTTCTCCAGCATGGTCTCCTTTGTCGTCTTCTCCAGCTCCGCCGCCCGCTCCTCCAGGTCCTTGACCTTGCGTTCTTTTCTCTGCCGAAACGCGCGCTGTCTTTGGCCCGGAAAAATCAAATCATTAGTTGAATTTCGAGCAAGGGAAAAGGGGGGGAGAGTGGCAGGCAAGGAACTTACGCTGCTCGGTTCTGTGCCTGTCTCTTCTTGGCCTTGTCCTCGGGGGGGCCTTTGTCGCCGTCGGGCGTGCTGGCGGCGGGTTTTGCCGTTTCACACGGGCACAGGTGCAGTATCCGCGCGTCGGCGTCCATGATGACTGTGCTGGGGAGTGCGTCGCAGCTGTGGGAGTGGCCGGCGCCGGCTGGCTTCGACAGGTACCGCTGGACCGGTAGGGGGCGGGATCTGGCGTCGTGGCTGAAGAAGGACATTTCGTATGTGGTGCTCGTAGGGCTATCAGACTTTTTGTTTTTGATTCTCGGTTAGACAAGACGCATCCCGACGGCAGGAACCAGAGGCGTGAAAAGAGGTGACACGCAGGAGGTGGACTGTACCCTGGGAGTGAAGCACCCGGTGGCAGGATTGACAAAGTAGTCGCCGCTGATGTACGACGGCGGGAGGCATAACGAGGCGTCCGAGTCGGCGGGCTGGTGGGCGAGATAGTGGTGGTTGCCGGCGACGTCAATCATTCTGAAGGTGGACGGGAAAAAAGGACAGGTTTCAATGGAGGTTTTTTCGGCCGTGGCATGGCAACAGGGGTGCAAGTATTTATATGCGCAGGGGACGGGCTCGGTTCAACGTCTGGGTTGGGACTGCAGCTATTCGGGGGCGTGTCAGAGCACCGGTCGGTGAGAAGCCGTTTGGACTCGTGGAGTCGCGCCAATTGGCACCCGGGGCTAGGCAGGCATTCTGCGGCACGCCGGCCTTATGCTGGCAAATGGCCTTCATGCGCATCCCATCTCAATTCCTGCCCCATTTGATAGGAGCCATGCCGGGTGGAGACGCCTGGCCGGGGTGGAGTCTTGGCAAACCCCGACAACAGACAACTTCCTGCCATTCGCAGCTTGTTGTTTCCTCGAGAAGCTTTGCACCCTGCGCGGCCGCCGATTCTGATTGGCAGTCGTCCCTGCGAACGCGACGCCACGATTTCGTGCTCGAGGGCCTTTATAGACGCATGTATAACATGTTGAGAGCTCGCAGGCATGCATGTGATGTTGAGTTCGCAGGCTGCATGTAGCCTTGCTCCTCTGCCTCGCGCACTCTGGAGTCTGCAGCGTGTCTGGACAGACGCCGCACGCAGTTGCATCATGGCATGCCCATGCGGCGGCCAGCCACCGAAGCGGTGGTATCCGGAGACTCGGCACTGGCCAGTCTGTCACGGCAGCCGGCACTATGAACCTCCGGCGTCACCACGACCCTCAAGCTGCGACGTCCGCCTCGGCGCCTGTCCTGAACAGTAGGGCACTGCAATACCGTCTAATCGCCTGTCCGTTCCTCTGACGGTCGCCGCGTGCCGTGCTAAGACATCGGGCAACCCAAAGCCAAAACACCACGTTCTGACTGCTCGTGCGCATTCGCCGAGGCAATTCGCCGCTGTCAGCACCAAGACACGCTGGTGACTGGTCCACCGCAGCCGCGCGCCAGCCCGCCCGCCGTCCAAATACCCGTCGTGGAAAAGGCACTGGCCGTCTCAGCCTGTGCCTGGGTTTCACAGTCGACGGCAGCGGCGCCCGCCCAATCGCGACCGACCGAGCGCTGGCACTGGCACCAGGGGGCTGCGTGCGTCCGAACCGGCCTCCTGCCAAGGGCCTTGAGGGAGCGACCATCTCGGCCGTGGGCAGCCAGCTTGGCGGTGGGGAAGCGGCCCAGAGGTATGTGCTGCAGTAATATATTTTGACTCGCGAGGGGGTTGGAGATTTTGGGGCCGGAACGCCGCCCCGATTAGGAAATCATCTCGAGCGTCGTCGCGGTTCTGAAGCACGCCTTGCCGCCACGTGGACGGGTGTTGGCTAGGCCAGAACCGTCGTGCGGTAGGGCTTGAGCCTTGTGGGAGGAGCACTGCGTCGGCGCCTCGGGACTCGGTATATTACGTCGCGGCCAGAGAGGCCATGCCGTCTGCTTGCCGTTAGCTTACCGGGGAATACTTGACGCTACCAGACTGTTCCAAGCGGCTTCGGGGAAAAAAGGGCAGTGGCCCGCGACGGCCTACCTTCCTCCTTGGGAATAGAGTTTTGGCTTGACGGTTGTTGTTCTACCACGTTGCTGGGACGCCTGTCATTGGACAGGAAACGAGGGGATGAAGATGGGTTACAGGAGATGAGGCAAAGGGCAGTTGGGAGTTTCACGTTGGGCCGTCGGGGAACTCTGCTGCACAAACTAGGCGTTGCCCCCGTGGCCGTGGCCCATGGGGATGTTGGGCGAGGTGACATGAATCTCGGAGATGACGCTCGAGCTAACAAGATTTGCTGTTTTTGTTTGGGCCTGCGCACTTGGAGTCGAGAGAGCGGTGAACGGCGTCCGTGTCAGGGTTTCTTCGTGTCTCTTTGACAACATAGGGGTTTTGCTTGGCTGTTGGCAAACTTGTAAACGGCCGAGGCTTCACCATTGTTGTTCTGAAGTTTGTAGCTGCCTCTGTGGACCGTGCCATTGGTCTACTGTCGTGGCTGGGCGTGATTTCCTGCACCTTGGTACGAGTTGACGTCGTGTTGGGGCTGAAACTGGACTATGTAGTGATGAGCGTGAGGAGGGAAAGGGTGTTTAAAGGTTCTGTGCTGCCTCCATTCCGGGAACTTGTCCTGGCTGAAGCTTGAATCTCTCGATGTTTTTCTAGTCCCGAATTTCAAAGGAGCCATGCAGTCGCGCATTTCTTGCCAAGTTTGAGACTAGAACGTGTCCAGGTGGGAGATGATGCTGTGGCAAGCGTGGAAAAGCCATGATAGATCTTTGTCCAATCGCCTTCCACCTTTGGCGTACTAGATGCAAACAGAGGAAGACAGCCAATGGTTCTCATATGCTGAGGTCTGAGTGCATGTCAGAGACTTTGGTTCTAGAAGCCATCACATGCATTCTTTTTCTCAGGGGTATTCTACTGGCATTGGGGCTCTGTGACCAATAGGCTTCACCTTGCCTCCTCCTCTCTAAGTAATGTGCCCTTTAGAAAATACTGTAACTGTAGCGGTATATTATTTGTTTTACGAATATATACAGCTTGAGAGTAATCCGACAAGGCCATAAAATACCGTACGAGGAAATCACCAAGTTCCGCTCCATCAAGTTCATCTGTCGTTTTTAAAGGCCGGCTACTCAATGATTCGTCAAGATTGTCAAAGACTAGAGACAGAGCCAAGATGTGCACACTTGGAGCCAGATATCGGAGACATTCGGCCGTGCGCCGCTATTGCTGCATTTTTTTGCTCCATGACTCAGTGGTCGAACGTGGCCACTCTTACACAAATTCATGCCCTGATGCACCAAGACCATGGCCTGGTGCTCCTCACACGAGGCCCTTTCCACGTAAGCTAAATGACATGCTGTAGAAATGGGGCTGCATGAAAAGTCATACTCGGCCAGCCACTGCGTCATATCCAAATAGCACCGGAAAAACGCCGCCTGGGCTCTTTATGAGTCGGGTTTGGCTGTATAGCGTGAAAACAGAAACGTCACCAGTTTCTCTTCTACTGCTTTAGCATGATGAGTCGAATAGACACTGCAGTACACTGCGAATAATCTACTGGGGTATACATGGATGGCTTGTGCTACAAAGAATTTCATCATGACTACATCTCGACAATCTATCTTGTACATCTAATTGCTGAAGGTGTTTACGTACGCCGAGTGACGGCAGCCAGAACTTATTAGGGAGGAATATAAACACGAGTAAAGTAGTAAAAGGCAAAAGCTGCTGCCCCATGTGTGTAAGGTGGGCCGTAGCAAACTCGAGTGCCTCGTTTTTCACCATCGATATCATGGCGCCATCAAATCTCATATAAAGGGCTGCCCAAGAGTAAGTGACGAAATATTGAGAGTCGGAAATCCCAAGTTTTCAGAGATGACACGATGAATAGAAAGCATCCTTGCTATCCAATAATATGAAGCACGTAGATATGCAGTCAAGCCATGAGCCCTCAATCCTCTCTGCCCTGAGTCTGTATACTTTGGTGGCGGTGACGGCGAATCAAACAAGAATCTTTGGCCGCCATTGGAAGAAATGCGACTATGCATCAACCACTTGTCCTTCCAAGGCTCCCCGCCAAGTGGAAATCGAATCATTTCTCGCCATGACGTGTAAATATCATCTGCCACCATGACACGCAAGGCAGTTGGCCCCATCCCACCGTGGCTTTGGTGAACTCGGTAATCAGGTCACTGCTACTCGATCATCTCGTTTGATCACCGCCATCAGCCCTCCCCATCTTGCGTTATCCAACTCCTACCCCTCTAGTTCCTCCCCCGCATCCCAACGATACCATGCAAGTCTTATCCCTACGCGAGTCACGCCCGGGGCCACGCAACTCACGACTGGCCAAGAGCCTTCCCCTCCCACACGAAGCGTCAGTCCACGCCGCCCCTGTCGGTGGAATGCGCAGACGTCAAGTGCTTACGCCTGAAGCAACTGCCGCCGCCTATCGCGCCGCGTCCCAGGTGGCTGCGGGACAGTCGAGCCGACCAACCGGGTTCGACCGGCTCGATCCGAATTACCCGAGTCAAGCAGGTGCGGCTCTCCGGCATTTCGGCATTCCGGAACCACGACCCGCCCCACCCGTTCGTTGCGTCGCCGGCATTCGAATAATTTTATCGCTTTGGAATCATTCATTTGCCGCTAGCTCTTGCTGCGGTGTCGATAGCTGGCTCAGGTGGCTTTTATAGCGCCAACGTCAGATGCGGCGTGCGTCTTTTGCTGCTTGGCAGCTCTTGGGCCCTGCGCCCTACGGGAGGGAGTTGCAGTTGAGCCGCTGCCGTGTTGACGCCTCGTGGGTCATGTCGTATTGCGCCAGACGGCGTGGATGGAGTCGGGGCGGTTGATAGTTTGCAATAGTGTAGTGGCAGGCCGTCGTGACCCCCACGCACAGTCGGGCTTTCTGATACGGGAGTCGTCGTTTTTGGTGACGTGGCTGATGGATTGCAGAGCTTGGAGATAGACCGGCCGCTGTACATGTGATACGTCGAGTGCGCGTGAGACCAGAATTGGATGACGATATGGCTAGCCCATGCATATGGACTATTCTGACCCGACGTCGGGCGCGTTGAGTCCTGACTTTCTCGGTGCTGGGCATAGTTCCTATTAACTAGTTTATCTTTTAAGAATCTTAGCTATTACACGTTGAAAGCTCCTATTAGACCTTCCGTGCAACATGTCGTTACAGAATTAATATAAAATTACTTGCAAGTTTTTACTATGAAGCCCTTTTAAGATACTTGGTAATATTAGCTAAAATAATTAAATGTAACTAGCTACTGCACTAGTATATTCTTGGAAACAGTTCTTTAGCCAACGCGCTGCAGGTACCCGCGTCCAATATCTCGGGCGTCGACGCTGCTTGTTCACCACAAAAGACAAATACTAGCGTATACGTGGGCACATGAATATACTATACCAGACTTGATAGCAAACTAACTTAGTGACGGCCAACCCGCACAGTCATCTTACTTCTCTCGGCCCCGACTACCTCCTTGGTCGACGAGGTGAAGACCTGGACCTCGTACTCGCCGCTTCCCACTTCCTTGACCACCTCGGCCCTCCCTCCTGCGCCTGTCTTAAAGTTGACAAGCTTCGACTTGCTGCCTAGACGTGTGCTTATCATCTCGACTGCGCCGGGAATGCCACCAAGACCAGGAGACAGCTGAATACTTGTCCGAATGCGATTATCGTGCCCAGTGGCGGCCGCGTTGATGTGAGACGCCGCGTTCGCCGTCACTATGGCCTGGATTCCACCGATGGGTCGGTAGACGTGCTCGCCAAAGTACGTCCAGCCCTCTATGCGGACAAAGGCCTCTGGATCAATCTTCTTTGGCTCATTGCCGAGACGGGGGGAATCCCGATCCGTCCACAGCACAACCGTCAGGGGTATCTCGCCTCGAGGGGGCAACCACACCCAGTGCTTGTCGACGGTGGTATGCCATCCGTCGGGGATCCCAAAGACTCGCAGCTCAATGCAGCGCCACACGGTGAAGGGGTTACGGACCGCAGCGGTGAGGACGACGGGTTCATGGGAGGATGCGCCGACGCTGTCGAAGAGAAAGACGTTCTCCTGGGCGCGGTTGTTGGTAAATGTCTCCTCGCCCTCCTGTGGGAAGATGGCTATGGTAATGCAAGTGTGCTCATCTGCTCGCGGCGCCCATTCGAAATCCACCGTCTCATAGGTACCCCCTGCGATAAGGGGAATGGGGGGGTGAGTCTGCAGCGGTACCCAGTTGCCATTATCCCCAATGCCAGGGGGTACATTCGTGTAGGCAGTGACAATGACGTTTTCAGCCTTTTCGATCCCATCGTTGTGAACGCGGGCCGTGATTGTGTTGGTGTGATGAACCCACGGCATGTCTCCGTTGTTGACTGCCTTGGTCTTGTCCCCTAGTTCATGGAAGCGGTAGATGGCCTGGCCAGCCTCGTCGTTCAAGGGGCTATTGATCCAAATGTCTGACGACTCCCAGCCGTCGGGGTTCATTGGTTCCATGCGCAGGTCGAATTGCCCCTTTGGCCCAGACGGCGGCTGCAGGTTCATTTGGAGCTTCACCCTGATGGCGGCGGGATTTGCCTGGGTGGATGAGAGGGCCGTGATGCGGATGAGCCTGCCAGCATCATACGCCGATTCCCCGACGTCAAGCATGCCGACTAACGAGACCTTGCTCTCGTAAGAATTGGAGATTCTGGTGGCAGAATTCTCAGCCACCGTCACAATGACGCGGGCTCCAGAGTATGGGAGACGTTGGTCAAACATGAGGCGGTTCGTGCCGTCCGTCGGAACGGACTGGCGGACCTCTACGTAGTACCGGACCGACGTATTTGCAATGTCAACTCTCAACAGGTTTTTGAAACCATTGGATGGGTTGTTCTCGATTGCTCCGTGAGTGACGAGGACAATCTCTTCGTCTGTGGTGTTGAAAATATCCGGGGTCCAGAGCCGAGTTGCAATATTCGATTGGGCGTAGATGCCCAGCTTGTCAGCGTTAAAACCAGACAAGAGAGGAGCGGCAGTCTGGTCTCCCATAATATCCCACTCTTCCGCTGTTCCCTTCTCCACGGTTCCGTCGCCGTGGACCTCGCGATACATGTCGTCAAGTTCGAGCCAGTGCCCGATCCCATGAGCAACTACCTTCCAGCGTGCTGGAGCCGGCACCCATGTCACTCCTTTTATTGACTTGTAATCCACCTCTTCTGGGAAAGAGCGGAATGAATCTTTCCGAACAGTCCCACCCCGTGCATCCAATAGACCGGTAAAGCAGACAACGAGGCCTTCATATTTGGCGACGTCGAAAGAGCCGCGGTTTCTGTCGACATCGATGAATAACCTGGCGCCGGTGTGGTCCTTCAAAGCGCCCAGACGGTCAAAAGCCACGTCAAGTTGAGATTTGAGATGAGTGTAGTCTGGTTCTTGTCCCAAGCCGGGGCTGCTGGCCAAATTGTCGATGGCTCCCAACACTCGGCGCGTCAGAAAAGGGCGCGCTGACAATAGCCACCCCGACACCTCCAAACGACCCAAGGCATCTCTGGGGAGAACCAGGCATCGGTGGAGTGACGTGATAGCAACTCCGAGATGTCGCGGCCGAGCGCACCAGTCGGGGGGGTTCCTGAGGTCGGCAACATCTACCGTCAGAATACCTTGCGGGCCGCATGCTGCCACAACCTTGGTCCCAACCAGCTGCACGCTACACACATTGGGCGCGTTGATGAAAGATGACATGGTGTTGAGTTTTTTGTCTGCCACTTCCACAACCAGAATGCCAGCCACCCGCTGTGGCTACGACGCACGTGTTGTCAACGACGTCGATGCCAGTGACGATGGCGTCGGCATTAATTTCAGACACTTTCGAAGGCCCATCTTGAGATTCGAGATCGAAGAGGACCACGTCTGGTCCAGACGCTGTAAACAACAGGTTCCCAACCACCTTGATGAAGGGGTTGCTTGGCTTGTAGGTCGCGAGGAGATTGCTGACAACGGACATGCTCCTCGCGTCACTAATGTCCAGCATCACAGCGTTCTCATCCAGACAACCAGCGATGAGGACGTTGCTATTCAGATCACACGAGATGACCTCTCGGATGCCATCGACCCGATCTAGCTCGGCAAGCAGCGGGCCACTAATGTCGACGGAAATCAGGCCATCTGCACCTGCGGCAACAAAGGCGACGTTCTCGCCAACGACGACTTGGTAGCCAACCCAGTTTGCCGCAAGTGTCGCCGTCGGGGCCGGGGGTGAACTCAGGTCTGTGACGGTGAGGCCGCCGCCGGCATGTACGCACACTGCCCTAGAACCGGAAATGACGGACCACCGCCTCGTCTTCTTGATGAGATTGACTATGCCTAAAGCTATGTCTGCCTCCTGGTAGATGTATTCATTGGTAGCTTTGGGCAACTCCACCCAGGGGCCTTGAACAAAGTCCCAGGTCGTGCCCTGCGGCCCGGAAGGGTTCAGGCTTCTCTGGGCCGCGTACGCCACCTCGCTCCAGTAGCGGTTGACGTTTGCAAGTTCGGACATCATGTCGGATGAAATAGCATCCGAGCGTCGCGGAGCGTCTCCTTTGCCGTGGCAGAAGACGACAAACACCGGTTGGTTTACAACTCCGGGCCGTGGCGTGCCCCTCGAAGGCCCGTGAAACGTCAGCGGCGGACCTACATTCGACGTGTTGGTGATGTTGAGATAGGCCGCAATCTTGAAGGGGCTGGCGAATGTTGCTACCGCCGTACCGCGCTTCACCACGACGGGTCCGGGGACCGCATTGTCGCCGACGACGACCTGCAGCTTGGTTGCACTCGCCTTTAGCACCACGGCTCTCACGGATCCGACGTCGACTGTGTTGCCATCAAGGTGCGATGAAAAGTTGCTCCCGGTAATAGTGACGATGGTTCCAGGCCAGCCAATCCTAGGATTAACACTCGTGATCTGTACCAGGCTGCTCATGGTCACAAGAGGCTATGTGGGCAAGTACCAAAGAAAAATTCGGATAGGTCTTATCCTCCATGTACAACTACGGGCTCAAACTGTCTTTCATAGTTGCAAACTGCCCCGGTGGATTTTTATACATTAGGATCGAGTCCAGTGCTCGACGGCCATAGCCAAGCAAACTTTGAGTTAGTGAAGCTACTTAGAATAGGTATATATATATATATATATTCATTGATAGTCTCTTCTTTATATATATTACACTATTACCTAGGATACTTGGTACAAGTTCCACTAGTATATATCTTGTATACTACGAGCTTGAGTGTTCTTATAACCTTATTCTTTATCAGTGGCACTAGTATTGGAATGGTCTAGCTTGGTCTCGGTCTGGTCTATACTACCGAGACTTACAATTCAAACCCTAAAAGTGTAGTCAAGAGATAAGCTAGGTTTATAGCAAAGGCAATTGATTGAAAGTCTACGTCCTTGGGGGGGTGGTTCTATGCCAAGGTCGCCAGCGGAACCCGTGAGCAAACAGTCCCTGTCCATGGCTTTGGCCCAAGACTGCATGTGGTATAATATGCCGTCGCTGCTCAAACTCACGACGCTGCGCTCTGTGCCGAATCTGCCTTTCCGCCAGAACTGGTCCTGTAACGTGCTCGCCGTTATCGCAGCGCTGTCCCTGGTAGAGTCGTCCAACCCGCCGCCGTACAAGCAGAGCAGCGCACCGCACGAATAACGGACCCCTCCCCGGCGAAACAAGTTCATCTCACTACTCAAATCTCCAAGCATGTTGGCGGTCTTCGGACGCACTCGCTACGTATGTAGAGTCTTCAGCCCATTGCACTGCCGGGGTGATGGCATTGACTATCCACGCATATCTTTCCATGCGAGTGAACCATTGAGATCATCAGAAAAAATTGAGAGGTCACTTGCACAGTGCCGCTGGAAGCTTATTCCCCTCAATGTGAAATTGTGTCTAAACGTGGCGCAAAGTTTATATTAATTGGCATTTGTAGGCTATATTTATTTTCGCATCCTCAATACTCTTGCTTATATCTCCCCATCACCATTATCTTCCTTACATGCCTCCCGTTGCCGATAAAGTACTACTAATTCCACATTTAATATTCCGCTTTTACCCCCGTGCTCATCTTAATCATGGCCGCCGCGGAAGCAATTGCTGTGCTTTTCTCGTCCAAGAGACAGCAGATACTGTTACCAGCGTGGTCAAAGCCATTGAAGCAGTCTCAGACTTGCTAGGAGCTTTCAAGAAGCGGAAAGATCGAACACCCGAGTTGAAACAGTGTATCGAATTAGCCAAGACGCAAATTATAGAAGAGATCCACAAAGCCGGCCGAGCTTGAGATTCGGCTCAATCAGCTCTCTGCATTTGCTGAGGCTTGGATTTTCACGTTGGAGCGCATCGTTGGGCTCGCTGCGGCGAAGGCGAGCGGCAAAGATGTCAGCCCCACGCTTCACGATCACTATATTAGTATACTGGATACCATCACGCGCTTGAATGAGGTTAAAAACTACTTCGAAGGGTCGCGGCCTAAGCCGAAGACACCCGAGATGCTTGGCATGTACTGCCTTTGCTACTCACCAATACACTCGTTCCACGTTGCGGCGGATACCCTCTATTCCATATTCACTACAGGGGCCATCACTCCAGACCTCTCGACTGGTATCAAGCACATCAACATGTCTAAAGGCCTAGTAGACGTCAAGGTTACAGACTATAAACTGTTGAGGAAAGGCCAGATAGTCCACCACGAGATAGTCCACTGGGAACCTGGAGGGCCGACTGACCATACAGGTATCTGGGTGGTCGATTTCGATGGTGGTGGGGATAGCGCGATTGCAAACATGACGGGCTTGAAAATCAAGCTTGAGCCTGCTTTTAACGACAAAAGGGAAAGAAATTATTGAAAATCGCTTCCATGGCTCAGAATTCGGAGGTCAAGCGCTCCCCCTTGTCTTCTCGAAGTGGAACGACCTGCAAGCGGAAGTATTGCAGGCCTCAAAGCGCTTACAGTTGAAAAACAGGCAGAGGCACACCTCTAACCCTGAGACCAGCGGCGTTGGCGGCGACTATTAAGAGTCAGTTAGGGTTACATTTATGAAATAATACTGCCTGGCATGTCAAGATCAGGTCACTCATTCAAAGCAAGCAGTATAGTATCGCTTATAAGGCAACTATACTATAAAAACTATTATAATATAGTTTTTTTGTCAATACTTTCGCGTGTATCTAGTAAGTTGACTTAAAAGGCATAATACTAGAGTAATAAAAGTAAAGAACTTTATATAAGTATAAGTATAAAGTATAAAGCTAGGTTAAAAGTAAATATTAAAGAAGGGAAATAATAAATTAAGAAGATAATAGTAAGAGTATAAGCTAAAAGGCTAATAAGAGGTTAAGTGTATTTATATTACAAGAGATAACTATAAGGCTTTAATATAAGGCAGGCGAATAATACGAATACCTTACTTGATTAGAAGTGCCGCCTAACCTGGTGAGGGAAACAGCGCCTCCTAGACTACATTTTAAAGATACTTGTGTTAGCTTAACTTGGACTGTTGCGTTGTGATATTCTCTCGTGCTTTTGCAAGAGTACGGGCCCGCTTACAGTTTGCTTCGGCATGAATTTGTAGCAGTACATTGATTCATAGCAGTATACTCCCTATAGAACTCTTGCCTCTGCTTGGCAGGATCTTGTTCCCTTAAACAATCGCTTACTACAAGGATGACGAGACGACTCTTGTTCTGGATATAGATCGTTATTGCTCCGGACAGATACTTGGAAGCGGAGATTAGAGACACCAGACTCGTTGCAAACACCGTATACCGCCAGTGTAAATAGTGCTATAGATGCGCGGGGGGCATACACAGGTTATGACTACTTCAAATTATCATGGCATGTATTTGGGAAAGTTGGAACTTTATTTGTGACAAGGGCTCGATAGAGGGCTTGGAGTCAATAGCTCAATTCATCTAATAACAGTTTTTGGTATCAAAGGTCCTTGGTTTTTCTCAAGGCCTTAAGGGACCAAGAGCTTCTATAAATACAAGAAGTCGGTGAGGGACTTTGCCCTAGGTCTCGTGACCCTAGCCCTTGTGTAACCAGCCATTTCCGTGTAACAAGATGCTACATGGAAACAGGGATCCTGGACTGCTTGGTACACATGCCATTCCCTGTGGCGTGGATGGGTCAATGCCCTCAGTGCTCTTCCACTCGAGAGTGTGCTGGTAGCTCTCCATCGACGGCCTCGTCCGCCAAAGATTCATTACTACTTTCTGTACACTCAAGGAATCTGTATGTGAAATCCTCCTCTCATATTAACTACTCCATCCTCGACAAAATTAAACCCGCTATCGAATATACCCTAAAAGACATCAAACAAGATGTGTGGTGCTTTTCCAGGGTACGCCCCTTAGCACACAAGATGCAGCCCGCTAAAACATTTAAATCACTCGTGGCCCACGGCGTACAGGATAAATCCTTGAATATTAGCCAAGTATCAAAAGTCCAGCAACGTCACATCACATTCTATAGCCTGACAAAAGGAAGGGCAGAACGAAGTATCCGTGATCCGCTCACGAGGCAATTTTCCAAGGTATATGGCACCTAGCAGCGCCTGGCTTGCTCCATCGATTCAATGATGTAGATGCATACATGCAACCTCCTAACGCATATAGGGCGCCTTTTCTAGCCTAATCATCTAACAAAACTATCACAATGACGACAGATTCTAAAGAGCTCTGAAGGGAAGATAAAGTGTAGCGCCAAGAAGAAGTTGCCAAGTTGGAACCACGTACACTATAGGAGGGCAAAACTGCTCTCTCTTTACTATCAGAAGCCCTGCATGCTACTTAGCTGCCCCTCTTGACGTTTAGTTCTAGTGATAGCAAATCCCGCACACCCCATACCTATTGTGCCAACACAGCTTTATGCTACGTAACACGGCGTTGGGTGTTCACATGGCCAAATTGCCAATCTGTTTGGACAATGTGCTCTCGTGGGATCAAAAACTTGAGCTGTTCCCGATGTGGGATGTGGGAAGATGCGTCGACCAGCACGGTATAATACGGTGTAGGTGCGGGATAAGATGACAAAGACACCGACGAGGATCAGATGGCGGTCCAGTCCATGACTAGCTCAAAGAGGCGCCGGGAACATGATGCCAAGAGCTTCTGGAATGTATTGACAGGTCTCGCCAAGCAATGAGTGTGGAGCCCTTGTTATCTCTTTAGATGCGGAGCGGCTCGTGGAGACTCGTTTACCGAAGAACATCGTATGGCAGCGGAGCCGCGAGCCACTTCGCATCTAAACAGATAAAGCGCTCTTGAATCCACTACAGAATGCCGACATCAAAACGGCCAAGTAGGATACCGAGGACTTGCAGACGCCTGCTTGACCATGGGCCAACTCCTCACAGCTATCGTACTAAATAGTAGCGGCAGGGTTAGTAGCTTGTTGAGCAAAGCCGCGCTTTGCTTGAGTTTTTACGTTATTATAAAAAGTTAAATAAGCTAAGAAATATAGCTTTTTACTTTATTTTTTTAATTCAATCTCAACCTTTAATTCCGACCTTTTATTTTGCCCCTCCCGGGCTTGCCGCTTTGCTTACACTTATAACAAGGGTTTACGTTGTTATCAGACCTAGTAGGTTGTAACACTGCTCGTGGATACTGCATGATAAGCATAATTATAACCTTCGATTCCTAAGTCCTATATCCTGACCCCCTGTTCATCGCTCCCACACCTTACCCACCGGTTGCAGCATACTGCCGCGCTTACATTATTCAGTCTGTCCCTGGACCGGCGGGTAAATACGACTCATGAGCCCCATGGCATCCCGCCGGTCCATCAGTTATTCAACGGAATCAAGTAAATAGTTCCAAAGTGTCTCGCTGTACCAACTGTCTATATAAGTAGATGATGTCGTCCCTGACAGAGAGTTTGAATTCTGCAGGATTCCTCTTCACATCAATCCAATCACTCTCTTTTCTGGCACACACAGCCTTCTTCTTTCATTATCTATCTCAACGATCAAGTCTCGCAACAACCACAATGAAGTTCACTCCAGTCGTTGCCGCCGGCCTTGTGGCCCTCGCCACTGCCCAGCCAGCTCGGGATGCTCAAGGCGCGACTCTTGAGATTAGCTGGGGAAAGGCTTGCGCTGGCTTTGAGCGAAACCTCAAATGCGAGAATTATGCCCAGGATTGCTGGGCCGAGTCGAATAAGCGTGCGACCGAGCAGGAGGTTATCGACTGCACCCAGAGAAAACTAAAAGAGGCCGCTCTCGGCAAGGATGGTACACCAATCAAGGAGCAACTTTGCGCGGGCTTTCTGGACCACCCAAAGTGCCGGGAATTCGCTCAGGCTTGCGACGGAGAGTCTAAGGGTCGTTGGACCGGGCGAAAGGTTGTTCACTGCACCCAGAAGAAACTAGTCGGACCAGATCTAGTAGCCGAACTTTGCGTGCCCTGGGAAAACGAAGAAGACTGCCTTGACCAGATCACCGACTGCAACACCAACGGCAAGGTTTTGACCGACTGCATGTCGCTCCCCGACTTGTACAGTATCGTTGATATCCCTGCCCAACCTGCCCAACCCTAAACATGTGTTGGAAGTTGGAAGCCGTTGCCGCATCCGCATACAAAAACGGCCGGCTTCACTACCGTCGAGCTTCTCGACAAGTGGAGGCTCCCTATGTCTGCCGGACGGAGACGTGAGACTTGCATTGAAATTTCAGCTCGGGGCCGTCGTGGTCCAAGTCAGTGTCGCCGCACGTCTCATCAGGTCGTGGTGGGTGGCAGCGCCGCTTTGCGCAATGGAAGCAGCGAGCACTGGTCTCTGAGTCGCTTTGTCAATTAACCCAATAAAAGAAGACCTATTTTGTATTCTATTTTGCTACATCTATAAATACAACTGTTAAAGTCTCATCTTACTGCCCTGCATCTGCATGGTGAAGCGTCATTGACCTAACCTGCCACCGAACTCGGATGGAACTGATACGTGACTGACCAATATCACAGCGGAAAATTAAACAGTTTCATGTATGAATTCAAGACTTTATTTACAAGACCGTGATTCCAACGAACGAGTTGTCCTAAGGGGAGGCAAAGCGGAGGTGGCCAGGGCAGGATATTATTCCGGCCTTTAAAGCTGCTGCTGAATTTAGGCTTGTTGAAGCTGTTGAATTTTGTCACACGTACAAGGGCAGGGCTACGGTCACGGGATTAGGGCAGAAGACCCTCACCGACTTCTTGTATTTAAAGACGTCTTTGGTTAACGAGGCCTTGAGGAAAACCAAGGACCTTTGATACCAAAGACTGTTATTAGGTGAATTGAGTAATTGCTCCAAGCCTAGCCCTTGTCACACCACCGTCCTTGGACCCCCTGACTATTTGCAAGGATAGAGCTGGTTATTTCGGCCCGTTGCCCATTGCCATCATCGTCAACTGTGCCGGAACGGAACAATTGCTACCCACCATGTGTTTGCAAATTGCATATTCTTCAGAAGCCCACCTCGTTTGTATGTCAGATAATAGCGAAAGTCAAGCACGGCACGAACGCAATGCGCCTGCCGCTGAGGTCACGTGTCGACACAATTTGCCTCATACCACAAGTATAGCCCCTCACATATCTTAACCTCATGCGTACAACAGCCCTTGTCGTATTGCTTCCATCTAGCTGCTAGTTATATTCAAAAGCCTAAGGCTTGGTTGGTGTTGGCTGTGTGCAGTCGAATGGCCTGTATACTCGCCGAGCAGAATGGCTTCTATTGTACTAGCTGGGCCCGAGGAGAACGACAACGAGACTATGAACAGCCATAGATTATGTTCAACCTGCGAAAAGTTGCTGATTCGACCACACGATGACTGGAATACTGATAAAGGTACTCAAATCGGCTATTCGAGGCGCCCATACGACGACATCGTGTCTTCTGCAAAAATTAGCTGCCCAATTTGTAAAAATTTACATGGTAGCATTCTAGCCTCGCCTTGGCATCAGTCGGATCTTATAGATCGGGGATTATCCTGTACTCTCTATTGGAATAGAGAAGCAGGCAAGTTCGATCGCATCGGGTTCTCTACGCCCCTGGTTCATTTTAAATTATTTTTAGAACAAGGTTCAGTTCTCATTATCAAATTTGACTTATTTACATGTCACTAACAGTTAATGTCTGATGCATAGATGTATCTTTTCTCATTCGAGGGAAAGGGTGTGAGTTAGCCAGTACATCTTCAAAGGCCTGTGTCAATTTAGTCACTGATTGGATCACGACTTGCACCAACCACCATCCACAGTGCAATCGAGAAGCGAAAGAGCCGGCTTGGCTCCCAACACGGCTCATTGATATTGGACACGTGGAAGGTACATGCCATCCTCGACTCGTCAACACCAGTGAAATGCAGAAAGACACAGAACAAACCAAATATGTTGCACTTACACATAGATGGGCTTCTCAGCCGACAGTTACACTTACCTCGAGGAATGTCGACCATCTCCAGCGAAAGATTACGCTGGAGGAACTCCCTAGGACTTTTAAAGACGCAGTACAATTTACAAGAAGCTTAGGAATGAGATATCTGTGGATCGACTCTCTGTGCATACAGCAAGATTGCGAAGATGATTGGCGAAAAGAGTCCGCAGTTATGGGCAAGGTGTACGGGCAATCGTTCTGCAATATTGCCGCAACAGCTGCAGCCAACGGTGAAGAAGGGCTCTTTGTTGACAGAGACATTCTATCACATGCTCCCTTTAAAATAGACTTGAGATGGAGGGGACATCAAAGAACATACTACTGCCTCTATAGCGATTTATGGCATTTGGGAGTAACTTCAACGCCACTGAATCACCGTGGATGGGTCCTTCAAGAGCGCCTTCTCAGTCCCCGCACTCTATCGTTTACTAATACCCAGTTGTTCTGGGAATGTCGGCAGCTGCAGGCCAGCGAATCATTTCCCAAAGGCTTGGGACCAAACGCTGACTTTGCCCATGAGGATATAGACGAAGACTCGGAGCTATGCTCAAAAGCCTGGGCAACTGAGGTCACTAAACCTGGCGCTCAGTATGCTCCATGGAGGAAAGTCATTGAACAATTCATGGTTTGCAACATAACCAAGGCTACTGATAAACTTATTGCGGTTTCTGGCATCGCTCAAGAAATGCAGTCTCTTCTTGGTGATACTTACGTGGCTGGCCTATGGGAGCGAAAGTTGACCTTGGACCTCCTGTGGTATGTGGAAAGATGGCCATACTCCTTCAGGGGAACATCTTATCGCGGTTAGTGTGGTCAGTGGTTATTCCTCGCCCATATGACGCACTGCTGAATAAAGACTTTTAGCACCATCATGGTCTTGGGCCTCTGTTGAGGGTCGGGTCCGTTTTGCCTGCGGCCACCGAGATTATAGTTGGGGCCCCCCTCTCGTCAGGATACTAACTGTCAATGTAGAATCTATAACTAACGACTCTACTGGTCAACTGAAGAGTGGATATATTCTCTCTTCGGGTCTCTTGTTGATGTTGCCACCAATGCACCAAGTGGCGGAACATGAGCGGCATTTGATGCCTGGCTGTGGTACAGCTTACTGTCTTGATGACGAGCAAGACATGGTCCTTGAGACTGTATACTTCTTTCCAGTTAGATCGATGGAAAGTGCTAATGGAGTGGAACTCGTGGGTTTGATTCTAACATGTATGTTTGGTGAATTTCGCCGAGTGGGGCTCATTTCCATCAGGCGCGATGAAATTGATGATTTTGGGTGGAACGATGTGTTTATATGGAGTGATAAGCACTGTACTGGGTGGTCAAGTGAATTGGGCTGTGGGGAGCTTGTGATCAAGATTGTCTAGATGGTCTCGAACTCACTCATCTTCCTCTTGAGGTCGGGGGGTTGGTGATGCACTAGTGAAGCTCAAATAAACTCTCTTGTTTTTGTGCCTCGGAGCCGGAATCGCTTCAAGATGAAAATGTGAAGTGAATTAAGATCCTCGCGCTTAGTACTTCCGCTGGCCGAGGTCAAGGCCAACTCGTCAGGACTCAAGAGGACTGCAATATTGATGGGTGAACCCACAGAGAAATAGGCAAAGCAGAACTATACTGGTCCCCTCATATTTAGCATTAGGCGACCGGGAAAGAACATCTGCCAAGTTTTGCATCTTTTGTCATCTTGGGCTATAATGAGCATCACCAGAATAGTATGTCTAGACTCTAGAGTAATTTCAGACCCTCGGCGCGTTACAAGGCGCCTTATTCCATAACTAATAGACTTAATTGAAAATCTAAAACCCCAGGCCTTATTAGCGCCGTGGCTTATGTATATAGCTAGCCAATTGGCTTTTCCCTTCTTCCGCCCTTAGCTCCAGAGAGCGGTTCTACCTATACACCTTTAATCTTCTATATATAAACTAAAATAATTTATCTTATCAATACATACGACCATAGCCACTAGCAGACCTCGCAAACCCGTCCGATCTTGTACGATAACCTAGTGAGCGCTGGATTAGTAGTTGGGTCGGTGACGACCAGCGAATACCCAGTGTTGTATGTTTTTTCTTTTTTTGCTGTATTTCGTGCTAGATGCCTATAATTGTAAGAATTGTCAGGTAGAATAAGCCCTATGATGTTGGGACTGAAGAATGCTTTGTCGTGGGGTTTATTCCACAGCGTGTTCACAATTATTAGTAGTATGTCCTTAGCATTCCAGACTCTCTCTATCATCCTTTTGGAGCAGACACATAACTAAAGAGCCGAGTGGTCGATATGAGGACGATCTGCCCGAAAGCCTACCTGTCTCGGTGCCGACGGATTCACGGACGCTGCCTCCACGCACAACCGTTCGCAAACCGTAAATATATATCACAGGGCCACTCGCAGTTTGAACCTTTTGCTTTGTATAATGCGTCTAGAAGATCAGTCTTCTTCTCATCCAAGCGAAGCTTCATTTTCCCCGTGAACGGAATGCACACAGCTCTCGGAAGCCTATTCGACTAGAATTCGTCACAAAAGCCCCAGGACGAAAAGAGAAGCTTATTTTCTAAACCTCAGTACTCACCTCGCCCGATCGACAGCATCCGAGGCCTAATCTCTCACCGCCGCCGTTCAATCATTTGAACCGGAGAACGCCATATCCAGTGATTCCACTCAGCATATAGGATTGCATCCCAGTAAAGGCCAAGCCGATTCAAGGTTGGAACTAATTGAAATTGAAATTCCCTCAGACATCTAACTGTTGTGATCAGGAGGTTGCGCCATTGGCTCTGCCACTTACAGCCATGGCTGAGCTTCGATTATTGCTTTTCCTGTGGCAGCCTCCGGCACTTGTTCGACAGCACGGTATTTACGCAGCAATGTCGTAACTCTCCCCAATATGCTGCATGGGGGCCAATGCGGACGCCATAACAATGGCTGGACGGCTTGTGCTCAAAAATGGGCTAGTGCGCGGGCCGGCTTGTTCAATAGTCTGCTTGAACACCTGGTGATGTACATGAGCGCCTCGCAAACTAAAGTAAATGATAACGCCGTGGCAGTTTCGCAATTGAGTAGTCCGAGCTTTAGTAAAGATACAACATTAGTTTACATGCAGTTTCAAACACAATTGAGATTTGAGTCACTGCCAGGGTTTTCAAAGCCTTACGAAATGGGCATACCTTAAGCTACCTACTCTGAAGGGCAGCAACAGACTAAACATGTTGGTCCTTGGAGAATGAGGTGGCGCCAATCCCCGCATCATGGTTGGCGTTTCCCAGTTGGCTGGCTGCTTGGGTGCTGACTGGGTTCTGAATAAACAGTCACTCCGTGGCAGAAGGGATGTCTGATGTGTTGCCCTAAATCAAGCTCTTGAAGCTTTCTGCGGCTGGCTTCCCTCCATTCCGAGAGCAGCGGCGAGAAAGGGGGGCGGGTGCCAGATTCGATGCTGGGTGGCACATTTTCGTCGACCTCTTCAAAACGTTGGCTTCAAAATAGCGTTCAACCCTAGTTAGTTAGTAGCTGCTCGTTTTGTTGGTGCTAAAGCCTTGTGCAATACGGTGCTGGTACCTACATACGGCCTGTTGTCTAGGATCATGACTTGAAGACTTGGACACGAGGTGGCGAGCTCGACAATGGAACATGTCAGGATGGCTCCGACTCCATAGACTCCCGCCATGCCGGGTTTCCTGGTCTTGACGAGCGCTGGCAGATCCCGAAGACTCCAAGCACCTACGACATCGGGTAGGTGCCAGGTAAGTCGGCCCTCGCGCGCGTGCGGCTTTCGCGGCAGGCGGGTCACAAGGGCTGTAGCGGTACTCAGAGTTTAAATGGTTTCCAACGACTCGGACCAACCGCTGCACCTCTTGCTGCTCCAGATTTGTAGCCTCGAAGTAACATCGGGGACTTGGGGGAGAAAATTCAGGATGCCATTGCAGCCCGTAGAGTAATTGTGGTGGGGCTGGGCATGACAGCTGCAAGGATTGGGGAGTATGGCAACCCTGAAAGACAGTGCCGCGCGCACTGTTTGCACACCAACCCAAGGAAGAGTACTGCGTACATAAGCATGTCACTGCTCGTCCGCAAAACGCCATGTAAGAAAGAGACTTGATCAAGACGAAAACCTGTCGTGACAAAGTCTCGATTCTGTTCCTGAATGGCGCCGCACTACGACGGCAGAAAAGGCCCTTCCACGACACTTCGGGCTTATTTTTTTTTTTGGTGGCTGGCTGCCGGGCTTGCTTGGCGATGTTGCTGAATGTGCAGAATTACAGTTTATCGAGAATGATGCCAATGCCGAGGCCTGATGAGACGGGGACTCTCCCTGGAACTTGACATGACAACCCTCCGGATCGTGGCTTATAAACTTTCTTTGTGTTATTTTAGTGGCGGACGGCAGACGACGAAGAGAGCTCGGATCAGGCCATGAGCTGAGAGCCATGGATTCCATCAGCCAACCACCCGGCAGGAGTATCGGTTCTGACGGACAGGTGGTGCTCCGTACTAGTGCCTGATGCCGACAAGAGCCGTGAACAGAGAGCTGGACAGATCAGAGACGTTCGGCTCCAGGGGCAGCACGGCAAGGGAGCCGCATGGCGAGACATGGGGCGTGAGGAGGCACCGTTGGTTGGACGTTGGAAATGTATCACGGCCCGGATGACTGTTGCGAGCTGAAGAGCAAAGTCAACCCATGACACCGTGGACTTGAGGACGAGTCTCACGCCTTTCGATATGGCCGTCCATATCGACCAATGGCCACAAGCTGCTCGTACTCGGTTTAGCCCAACACAGTACTCCGTACGACATGTCTGCCACGCACCAATCCTCGGTCATGCCATGCAAACCATGGCGCCGACAGTCGTGGGCGACTCATCATTCGATGAGGCGTTTGGCGTGAGCGGGCTGAGCATTCAAGCACTGTCCGCCAGGACGAAAAGGCGAGAAATCCTGCTCAGCCAGTCAGACAGTCCAGTCAGACAGTCAGTCAAACAGTCCGGCTATGCCATCTTTGGACTAGCGTTAAATTACGGGGGGAGATCCACCAACGGCTGACATCCAGCCAACCAGCATCAGTCATGTCCCTCCCACTCCCCTCGGAGAATACTGTACTCCGTACGCAGTCTGGAGAGGCAGGAGCAACAAGGGCAACCAGGCAGCGCCAGCACAACACCAGTGGACGCCACCAGAGGGCTGTCGGTGCTGTCCGGCGCCGTCGGCGCTCGAGCAGAAGCCTTCATGTTGGCTGGCCCAACATCCAACACTGCGGTGAAGCACGACAGGACAAGCACTTGCAGGGCTGGTATTAGCAGCGAGATCCTCCGCCAGGCTGCCCGTACGTACCAACATTGAAGGTACCTCGAGGTACTCCGTACTGGGTTCAATTACCCGGGCGCCCAGGGTGCTGGGGCGCCGGGCGCTGGGCAGGCGACCCAATCAGCGGTCATTCTCGGCTCGCCGCTCGTGCTGGATTGGCGCCTTCCCGGCATGGGTGAACTCTCATCGCTTTTGGCACGCGCCCCTCTGTGCTGCCTTCTCTCTCGTGCTCCGGCTGCCAGTACCTGTCTGCAGGCCACGCAGGCCACGCAGCGACATCTGGGTGACGGGCACAACCGCTTGGGCACTCGCAGTCACGCGCTGGCAGTCCTCGCTCGCCCACCCGCCCCCAGCCCAGCCAAGGAGCCAGGTCCGTCTGGCCAAGTCCAGCCAAGTCTGGCCCAGTCATCATTCTTCTCCTCTCTCTCTCGCTCCTCGTCGTTCCCCCAGATTTTGCTACTCTGCTCCCACCCTCCCACAGTACTAGTTCGTACCGTCTCCTGCCCTGGCTCTTCACGACTCTCCTTCGCTTGCAACTCAAATTTCCTCTCACGACCCAAGAATCCCGAGTCTTCGCCCTTGACCTCGTTCTCGATATCCGACACCTGCTCGACGGCTTGCAGCGACTTCTTATTCCCGTTGCACCCGCATCGCTGTCAAGTCCATTTATCCCCCGTTCACCGACGAAATCATCCCGTTCCACCAGACGAATCCGCCCAAACAATATCCAGCATTTGCCCCGACCCAGGCCGAGCAATCAACACGCCACCGAGATATACGGGCTGGTTTTGCCCAAAGCAGTAGTTATCGCGACGTAATACCCCCCGTGTCTCCATCATTCTATTCGTTCTCAAGTCCGCAAGTCCGACAGCGCGAGCCTTAATCCTGGATTGACGTCCTCACAACCGCAACCATGGCCATTGCCATGGGCTGGCAGAAGCCCGACAATGTCGCTGGCTCGTCAGCGCCGGCCATCATGGTCGGGCTTTTTGTCGCTTCTGGTGGATTGCTCTTTGGTTATGATACTGGGTAAGTAGGCGTCAACCAAAGTTCTTTCCTCCTGCCTTGGCCCTTAGAAGCCGTTTAGTACAGTCTGGGACCGCGACCTAGGATGCGTTGAACTCGCTTTTGTGGTGCAAATACAGTTTAAACCATGTGCTTGTTAGTCTAGGGGCGCGCTGGGAGCGGTCAAGGAACAATACGTCCCAACTGGAGCGCCGCGTGCAATCTCTTGGAATGCTGCTGCGTTTTTGTGGAAAGCAATCTGTTGTGCTAATACCTTTTTCTCACTCGTTAGAGCCATAAATGGCATCCTAGCCATGAGTGCTTTCAAGACGCAGTTTGGTGCCAATTGCCATTCGACAACAACAAGCGACTCTTCGTTATCGATTTGTCCCAAAGATGCGTCTCTCATCGTTGCCATCCTTAGCGCCGGCACAGCTATCGGAGCACTCCTTGCCGCCCCGGCAGGAGACTCACTAGGTCGACGAATCAGCCTCCTCATCTCGGTAGGCATTTTTTGTATCGGTGCCATCTGTCAAGTCTGCGCCAACGAGATTGCCCTTTTGCTTGTCGGCAGGTGTGTCATATCTAAGTCTTGCGTGTTTCTCTTTAATGAACGCACTGCTTGTACGAATCAATCTTGCTAACTACGATGCAGGGCATTGGCTGGCGTTGGTGTTGGCGCCGTCTCAGTTTTGGTCCCATTATATCAGTCCGAAATGGCCCCGAAATGGATTCGCGGAACATTAGTGTGTGCATACCAACTTTCAATCACCGTTGGTCTACTATCCGCCTCCGTTATCAATATCATAACATCAAAACTCGACGACTCCTCTGCATACCGAATTCCCCTGGGTCTGCAAATTATCCCTGCCCTCATTCTCACCGCCGGTCTGCTTGTGCTCCCTGAAACCCCGCGTTTCCTCGTCAAGCAAGGCAAAAATGAGGCTGCCGGCCTTTCCTTAAGTCGTCTTCGACGGTTGGACATTACACATCCCGCACTGATCGAAGAGCTGCAGGAAATCATCGCAAACCACCAGTACGAACTGAGTCTGGGTCCTTCAACCTACAGGGACGCCTTCTTTGGGACTCCTCACCTTGGTCGCCGGACATTCACGGGCTGTGGTCTGCAGATGCTTCAGCAATTAACCGGCATCAACTTCATCATGTATTACAGTACGACATTCTTTAACGGCGCTGGGGTCAACAGTCCGTACACGAAATCTACAATTATCAATGTCATCAACGTTGTATCCACCATCCCTGGTTTGCTGATTATTGAATCCTGGGGCCGGCGGAGCCTGCTGATGACTGGCGCTTTGGGAATGGCGACATGCCAACTGTTCATGGCGTCATTTACTACAGCTGCCGGCGAGGATTTTAAGAATATAAAGGAAACGATCCTTGTTGTTTTCTGCTGCTTCAATATTTTCTTTTTTGCCGCTTCTTGGGGTCCAGTTGTCTGGGTCGTCACATCAGAGATCTACCCCCTGAAAGTACGAGCTAAATCTATGTCGCTCTCTACCGCTTCCAACTGGATTTTGAATTTTGGAATCGCCTATGCCACCCCATTCATGGTTGAATCAGGTCCCGGATCGGCTAGTTTTGGACCGAAAATATTTTTTATTTGGGGTGCATTCTGTATCGTCGCTTTCATCTTTGTTTGGTGCATGGTCTACGAAACCAGCAAGATCAGCCTGGAGCAAATAGACGAAATGTACGAACGCGTCAATCACGCATGGAACAGCAAAACCTTTCAGCCGAGCTGGAGTTTTCAGCAGATTCTCGATCAGGGCTGGTCGCCAAGTGGCATCCCAGAACACGAGTTGCAAACTACAGCATCACAAAGCAGCGCGGATACGACGCTTGGCGACTCAGGGTCGTCAACTATTACTATACACCATAGCGAGGAAGGCCACCATGCAAGGCAATCCAATGAAAATAAGGCGATACCGATGGCGACGGTTGATTTCAGTTATTAAGCGATATACCCGCGCCAGGCGAGCGCAGCACATGTAGAAAACACCTACATATTGGGATTTTTTTAAACGGAGCTGGGAACTGGGATTCTGATGTGGTACTACGAAATCCACTTATTATCAGCGATGGAGTTTTGACTGTCAAATGGAGTTTTGGTATGGGAAGGACGGAATGCATATATCTTTTAGCCAGCAATTTTGGAAAGGAAGTTCCAAAGAATCAAAGTGGGTTTTTTTGTCGCCCTGATCATTTGGGCATTTTGTCCTCATGTCGCCGGGTCATATTTTCGGTTCTTGGATATGGGACCGCTTGGGGAAATTAAGAAAAAAACAACTTACGTTATGATTCAAGCCTAATATCAGAGGGGCACGTGGCGGCGTCCGTCATTACCAACTCATTATGGAGATACTGCCCAAGCTGTGAAGGAAATCCCAGTGCGAATGTATATCGTGATGTGCAGTAAGTTGTAGGCAGGCCACAGGCAAGCAAATTGTCGTTGGCCGCTCTTGGAAATATGATTGAATGTCCAGTGTACTCCGTACAGCCGCATTGTTTCGAGTAACGTGTACTCTCTGCGAAACATCGAGCGTAGCAAGGACGCGCCGGTTTCAGTAGACACCCTGAAGATGCTGCTGTAAAAACCTCCCCATCCGAAAAATATAACAAAATTACATACATAAATCGGAAGTTTGAACATCGCGCATGTCACTTGGTTTTTCGGACGAACCCAGTGCTACCCTATACTGTCGACCAGGACAGGGTTTATAAAGTAAATTAAGCCCGTGCCCGTCAACAACCAGCGAATCAATTGGTCCGGCGGGGTAACACCCCTCCTCTCTCCGGGTAGTCTAGTTGGTTTATGGCGTCTGACTGTAAGATTTATAGTTTATCAGAATGTCGCGTGTTCGAATCACGCCCTGGAGATTCTTTTTTTTTGATGCATTAGACAACGACGTAGGGCTGACTGACCGCTTGTGTTTTGATCCGTCCGTGCGTGATGGGGTTTTTTTTTTCTTGCCGAGGTAGGCTGTCGCTGGCTTTTACTTCTGTGCTCGGGTTTTAAGACGTTGCTTGTGTTGTTGGCCCTTGATGCCAACCATGTCCGCGGGGCACGGTGAGTCGGTGCCACGTAGCCGTGCCAGTCAGTCTGGTTCTCTGCTACTATCGGCATACTGCTGGCCACACGGTCTGCTCTCAAGCTGCGAGTCGTACATGACGCGCTGGCATATGGCCGTCGTGGGAGGCTGATGGAACTTGGTGGTGTTTTGGGTCTGGGGGCGAAGAGCACGTTTGACTGCCAGCCATTCATTCATTGTATTCATTAGTCATAAATTCTCATAATGACTTGTTTCTGCTACATCAATAGTCTTTCTGCTACTCTCTCTTGCTCTCAGATGTTCTGTGTTTCTGTGGCTTAAGAAAGGCCAACAACAGTCATCACCCCTAAACAACCCAGGACACTGCGTTGCCGTTGGATTCAGTTGTATCCAGCTGTCATGTCTGTCTTGCACCGTTGACCCATTTTCATTCTCCTGGATATGTGGTTGGATAATGAAAAAAAAAAAGCGACAGCATTTGTGTCCAACACCGTCACCGCATCTTCTTGCAAGAATTCCTAACCGCTTCATGCAGAACAAACGTGCTTCCAGAGCTGAATTGTAAAAAGAACCGAGAAACGGGTCAATATGAAAGACATTGTCAAGGTGATTTGCAAATTTCTGTCATCAAATACGACGCTGATGTGCTTCAAGCCCGAGGGGGTCCTGTGGAAAGGCGACTACGGATGCTCCCGCATCCTCTTCAATTGTTGTCCAATAATACTGAGTTCGGCATCCATGGTGTTGTAACCGGAATAATCAGGAACAAAGCTCGCTGCTCGTTGCCGCATTTCCTCCTTCTCTTCTTCCGTCATCTGCTCCCTGTGCTTTGACCGCCCAGCTCGAGAGCTCTTGTCACTGTGATCCTTACTTTTGCGCGACCGACCATTCTGTTTCGCAGATGATGATTTCTGGGCAGACCGAGAAGATGGTGCCCGCCTGTTAGACTTGCCTTCCGACGCGCTGCTGCTGCTACCGGTTCGTTCGGATGACGAAGCAGATTCCCCAGTTTGCCAGTTGGCAAGTTCGCTTTGCTGGGCAGCCCATTCTTCAAGTCCAGCACTGTGCAAGATGGAGAGAAATGACGACTCCATCTGGCATCTGACAGGTGCATCATCCATCCCAACAAAGGGCCTGTGGTCGCGAGGATCCTGGGAAGACGCCATGTTGGAGGATATTAATGTGTTCGGCCGTGGTTTCTAGTTGACAAACAATCCACTTGAACGGCCCAAGACACAGCACCAGATAGACACTGGTGTATCGCGGTTGTTGAGGCCCAATACTCCTAGTCCGTCCGCATACGCCAATATTCCAGGTTGAGTCAAACAAGGCAAGGCAGCTGGCTTGCCAATGGCCGCCAATTCACTCTAGGGCAGTTCGTAGTTGTCAAGGACGCTGAACAGGCGGGATTATCCCAACATCAAACGCTGTGAGAGCTTGCGAAAACAGTACCGAGTAGATGGCTAATCTCCAACGTCCCACTCCGCAGCAAATAATTCAGTAGTCCCAAGACCAATGGGTATAACAAAACGGGGGGTTGCCGGTGGAGGAAGCGCTCAAGGTTGGCGGAGAGCAAATTTCTTGACTGCTTGCAAAGAGATGACCAAGTTCTCAATGGCAATGGCGGAAAGGAGACAGAAATGACGCTCCTCAGAGGAGGGGATACGGATGATATAAAGATTGCGTTGCGCCCACAGACCCGGATGAAATGTCTAGTACGCCGTACGGTAGCATCGAATTGGGCCGCTTCGGGAGTGCCACAAAGAGTCAACATGTTCTTCACTTCACCGTGTCTCCAGTGGCACGGGGAGGTGGTTCCGGGGATCCTGGGGAGCACAGTCGGCAAACCGGTGCGGGAATGGGCTAACGCCGTCTGTGGATGGTACTGTGGAGGCATCGTTGTTTAACCCTTTGGGATCCCCATGTGGTTCCCCAATGTGGTTGAATAGTATTGGCGGAGGTGCAAGTCGGCGATATGGAGCGGATCGGACATAGCCTTACGGGCGAGGCACAATCGTAGAGACACAACCAAAACAACTTGTCGGGACCCGGGAGTCTGGTAAGTTGGGCGAGCCAACAACAAAAGATGCCTTCTCGAGGTAGTAAGATCCCCGAATAGGTAGAACTGCATGCCGAGATGGAACGGGGTGTCAGACTAGTCCTCGACTCATGGTGGAGCAGGCGAGAGATGATGAAGCTTTTGCTACCAGGCCCGAGCCGCATTCATTTTGCGCCGAATCAGAAACGCAGCTGGCCGGAGGGATAATCACGGGCGACAGGGGATGCGGACTCGAAACCGCATATGCATCGACGATAGAGCCTTCCGCACCTGGACTTTGGCACTGCATCTTTGCTTGAATGGTGGATCTGCGGCGGGGACAGTTCGAGACGGGACTGACAGCAAAGTTCAAACCGCCGCCCCTCGAGATCTTTTGCCAAAGGCGCCTCTGACCAATGAACTGCCAATTATGCCCGAGCAAGACTCCTGCATGCGCGTCAAATGCTCAAGCGTATCGTATCAAATCAAACTTGATGTTTCACGCATTCTGTTTGATGAACTGCAAAACGGCAAATGAAACTTGCGGAGAAGAGGCTGCCTGCCGGCATTGTCCCCATTGTTAATTTGTTCGCTCAGGGTGACGGCAGTGTCCCGCCTGCCGCCCGCCTCGCGAAGTCAATCGATGGAGGATGCAACTTCAGGTGAACTTGAGGTGATATTGCACAATAGAGAACCGCAAGAGGCCATCCCGAGGTAAAAACTTGGTGGCAGTGCGTAGATGCTAATCTCTATGGCGGAGAGGCGTGATGGGCCGTGATATTTACTGTGCTTCACCACAAGCACTAAATAGGGCACGAGACCTCCAGCTTGGGAGCCGAACCAGGCAAGTACGTCAGCAAAAGCCACGATTCCGGGCCCGACTCCTCAGGACACTGCGCCCTGATGAGCGTCGCAAGACCCTTGCGGCCGAAAACGAGCGAGCAACGGCCGAGAGGTGTCTCGCAATCGCCGCCAGCGGACGACTAGCCATGCAAGCTGTGGCCTTTGCGGCATTAGCTGCTCCACCTGCTCACTGATCCAACCTGCCAGTCATTGCTGCACCAGAGATCCCGCTTGAACCCTCAGAGGGAGCACTGAATTGCTCGAGAGCTGATTCTTGTTGGGTTTGACGACAATGACGCATGGTGAGTTGCCTTTGAAGGGTTGCGCGCACCAGGTATGCCACGTATCTTACGTGGTAAGAACAACAGCCGCTCCTGTCCTCTACGTATCATCAGCGCCGAAATTCCTCGTTGGAGGGCGGCAGGAGGACAGCAGGACTACGACGCCGCAAGCATGATTGGCCACTGGCCATACACTGCATATTGATATTAGATTGTTGCAAGATGGTAGGTAGGCTTTACGAGACATGCATTTGAACGTTGTCTACCTTTCTCCTCCGTTGGGAATGGCGATTTGTTTCAACGTGGTGAAACTTCTATTTTGAGTTGGAGACTTTGGTCTGGAGTGCGGCGTGGTTGGAGATGGTGGAGATGATGGGACGTGATACGCCATGGATGAAGGGACTGTCGCCGTCTCTTGACGGGCCGTCCGTCGTCGTTTTATCGTCATCGGATTTGTGGTTTCGCGACATATTGCGGTGTGGCTTGATGTGCCTCAACGCTTGTGATGAATGGTCAAAGATCGGCAGTTCGAGTCAGAGTGTGATGGAGTAGAAGACGACGAAAAAGCAAGAGGGGACGGACATATGCAATTTGGAATACGGAACATGGAAGAGCATGCACAAGCATTGGAGCGGAGGAAGAGGCGAGGCTGCTTTGAGAGAGCCTCCTCAGTTCACGGTTGGGCCAATCAAGTGGCTGCCACTAGATCAGTCGGCGGCAAGAGCTCAAAATGCCAGGTCGAT